ATTGGGGTAATTCAGTGCTCCCCAGCCTGCCAGCAGGACGCCAATGTCTCCCCTTGGAAGAACATGAGACTCCTACACTCCAGTATTTTAACGTGCAGATTCTGAAAACAAACTTAGTTACGATTTGACCCATGCGCCTCCCAACTTACGAGGCAGCAATATATTGACATATCCAGCTGACAAGCTCCCAAAGGAAAGGCCAGGTAATAAGCCAGGTCACTTCTTGCCTTAGTGCAAGACTCAAGTTTATTTCTGACACCTGAATAGCTTTTCAAATGCACTTCACCTTTTCATTTCCCTTCTGCCATGAGCTTGTGGCTTTCTGGTGCCTTTCTGAGCAGCTCAATAATTGAACATGGGACACATGACATTACATTGGCACACAACCTGCCAAGTGCCTGTTTCATTTATGAAGACAGACTGGTGGAACTGGGGTAACTAAGAAGACAGCGCACAGCAAACCTCCTGCATCCTGCAGCAGCTCTGCTAGTGATGGCATTCCCTGACAAATTCGGCTCCACGTCAGTGCTCCATGTCCTTACCTAGATTGGAGGACGCTCTGCCTTCAGCAGCTCGGTCCTGCAGGCTCTCAGCGATGTGCAACTGTTCTTCATGGTACTGCTTAGCCCTTTCCAGGTCCTGCATACATCTGGCTGCATGGCCCAAGCCAGCATAAGCTCGCATCTCAATGGCCTTCTCAGCCAGCTCCTGGGCCAACTCCAACACATAGTTGTGGTAGGACATGGCTTTGTCGAAGTTTCTCCGGTAGTGGTACGCACTGCCTAGGTTGCTGTAGGCTCGAGCTTCCTCCCGCTTGTTCCCCAGCTCCTTGGCGATCTTAAGATGTTGTTCATGGCACTGCACCGCATTTTCAAAATCCCCCATTGCAATGTACACTGCTCCCATGTTGCCCAGCTCCCGCGCCTCAGAGAGCTCATCTTTGGACTGCTTTGCAAGGAGGACACACTGCTTGTGGCTAGCCAGTGCGTTTGGGTAGTCCCCAATGGCTGTGTACACGTGGCCCAGACTGCTCAGTGCTGAGGACGCTGCCTGCAGGGATAAGACAGAAAAGGTAAGTACAAGTAAGCATTCACGGAAGCAAGTCAAATGGCCCCACTCCTAGAAACTGAAGCCACAAAAGGCCATTCTGGAGACAGAATGTGACTACCAGCTAGAAAACCTGCTCTCTGCAGTTCTACATCCCTCAGAGCAGCTCAGGCAGAGGCAGCAGGGAATGGGGTTGACTTGGGAGAACAGGGCTAGGATTACCTCTTTCTCTGAAGCGTACAGTGTGTGCATAGCTGTTAGAGGGGAAGGATGGCACTGCAAAAATGCAGAGACCAGTGGGGAAAGAGAGAAAGTGATTGCTGCAGAAAACTGCACTCCAGGACCAGCCTGAGCCGTCTCACAGAGCAGCGCTTCCCCTGTAGGCAGCCACAGCTCAGGTCACCTCTCATGACTACTTACTTTAACACCAAGTCCTGCTTACACATGACATTCACCTGCAGAGAACACTGCAAAACAACACCTGCTGTGTTCCACCCTCCACCCAGTAAGCTCGTGTCAAAGCAACAGACTCCCAAGACCCAGGCTGATGCCAAAGCACTGTCAGAGACCAGCAGCAGAACGTGGAACCTGACATACCCAACGTGGAACCTGACATACCTGCAGGCTGAGCCGGTCTCTTCTTTCCAGGCTAAACAGCTGTTGAATACCTGCTGCTGGAAAACTTACACACTCGCAGCCAGCACCTGGCTGGGAGAAGGGAGATGCCGCTGCTGCTTATCTTGCAGTACCAGTGGGCCAGTGTGCAGTCACCAACATCTCCATGTACATGTGCTTGGCCAATCACACCACGCTCCAAAGAGTGCCGTTCTTACTGTGCAGCATCAGGGTCCTTCTAGTACAACATTGTTTGTTATTGAGCCCCAAAGAACCTTGAGGCTGCAGCAAAGACAACAGTATTTCAGCAGCTGTAGCCTCTGTCCCCTGGGGACATCTTAAATAAATATAGCTGTTTGAAAACCCGAGTTCTTACCACTGAGAAACAGCTGTATTTAACAAGACAAATTATCTGAGAAGCAGATTCTTTTGCCTGCTGCATCTACCAGGACGCGCGCCTTCCCTCCACCTGGCAGAGCCAGAGCGTGCACAGCCGGGCAGCGGGGCAAGCAGCCAGCAACAGGGATGTGCTCCTTCTGCCTCATGCACATCTGCTGCCTCAGCATGGCTGTTCACGCCAAAGCGCTGACCCAGAGTCCTCCATGGGACCTGTGTGTGCGCATTTCTGTTGATACCCAGCTGCTGCTGTGACCCAATTCCACAACAGCCATCTTTTCCAACCCCCCAGAAAGGAGCAGTCAGGGTGAGCGACTGCAGAGAGATCGGTCTGTGCCCCCCCAGCACCCCGGCTCAGGAAAGATCCAGTCCACCCTTCCACCCAAGATGGTGACACAGCACCTCAATACACTTGTCCTTGCTATTTGAAATGGCATAACCTTGTGCTACCAACGAAGAGGCCGCCTCCCCCTTTTCCTGTCCTTGGCTGTGAGCTCCCAGTGCAGCCCTAGGCTACCATTCCTGTCCACGAAGCGGATTCTGAGCTCCCCAATCCCCTGTTCGAATTTCTGTTTCCTAAGAGGCAAGACCTTTGCACTGAGTGGTGTGACGGGGGCAAGAGCAGCTTGACCACACCACCAGGCTGCAGGCAGGTGGGGCCCTTCGGCTGTTCCACTGTCAGGAAGGAAGACACGCTCCTTCTGTTCTTACTCAACCCCTGGAGCCACCCGCATGGCATACTTGTGTTGCATTTTGTTACTCCCCTCTTGCTATGACTTGCCTAATGCAGCTGATACTGGTGCTTTTGTTTAAGGAGCAAGCGCTCGTCACGTTTCTGGGTGCAGTGTCCCCAGTCACAACACCACGAGCTCTCCCATGAAATGGGATTCCATATGGCAAGTGCAAGGCATGCAGCTGAAAGCGCCTCACAGGACATGCCAACCAGCTATCTCCAATGGGAACACCATGGAGCTGGAGAAAGGTTTCAGTGAGATACCACTGATATAGACACCAGACTAACCCCCAGGGAACACAGGATGAGCTGTAAATAGTGAGCTCCTTGCTCTGCATGCATGAGACTCAGACCACAATGTCGCAGCACGGTTCAGACAGCAAGCGGACCTCTGCGGTTAAATTCACCTAAGAATTTGCAGATTCAAGCCCGCCTCTTTTAAGCGTTTTAAACAGCGGCCTCCTCCACACTACAAGTACACAGAAACGCACTCTGACATCAAGGTTGGAGGGAAAACACTTACTTAAATTAAGCAGCTGGAGTAGCTAAGGGATGGCAGTGGCTCCCCATCAGTGCCCAAAGTGGTCACGAGGAACCTCTCCAACCCACCAGCACCACACCAGGGAACCCTGCCACCTTTTCACTGCCAGGTCATACATCTGCTCCCAGGAGCTACCTGAGCTAGAGGGCTTTCCCTCACACTGGGCATTTCCTCCAGACACTCGCCTCGCCTGGATAAACTGGTATATTCCTGCTTGGCTCCCACCTGCAGAATGGCTATGCCCACAGATGCAGGATTTTAATTGCTTTCTCCAAGGCAAATGACTAACCTCTTCCTGGCCACACTGTCTGGCCATCAGATATAAAAAGAAAGCGGATCAGAAAATCTCTTCTACAGGAGTAGAGCTGGCTCAGTGCCTCTCAACTGGAACCACATTTTGCTACTGAAATTGCACCCCTGAAGAAATAAGCCTTTCATGACTTTCAAACACAGTAGCAGAAGAAACCTTTCTAAAGACTATTCTTACTAAAATTATATCATGATTGGAAGAGTAATGCTAAGTCAGGAAGATCTATGGGCCAGAGCAAGAGGCAGAGAGCACAGGTGATAAATTATTTTTGTGATCAGGAGCATTAACAGAGTAATATTTCCACACTGATGAACTGTAAATACGCTGTGCTGATTCAAATTAACAGGGAAACCATCTTTTCTGATACAAGAACCTGAGGTGACAGATTAGCTATTAAACACAATTTATAGGTCACAAGATAGAGAAGTTATAAGGAAGCTCTCCCGTGGCCAGCTCCGTAAATAGCCAAGCTGCATTTGTCCTCCCGGAGGCATCCTTTCAGGCAGCTTAATTATAATGGAAGAACTGCTAGAATTCAAAATGTCTTTATTTTCTTCCACTTAGTGTTGCAGATGAACTTCATTTAGTGCACGGGACAATGCACGCAGAGCAGTGGTGTGGCAGCGACTCAGCCGCCACAGGAAGCCCCGCAGCATCCCCGCAAGCTGTGGTACCGCTCCGCAGGGCAGTGCGGCCGCAAAGCCTGGGGCGCAGTCCCACAGATGGCGAGAGCAGCACTGGATTTCATGCTGCCAATACGTGCTATAATGAACTAGAAATAAGTCGCTTTTGCTGCCGTAATTACCACAGACCAGAGAGAGGAGCAGCTAGCAGCCACTCTTCAGTGACATAGTGACAGGCTGGGGACAAAGCTACTGAACATGCTGCCACGGGGTCAAATGGTTTCTTGGGCTTGGGAGGTGTTTCTCCAACAGCAAGCTCCACAGGTGGTGTGAGAACCAGCTAAACCCTGCAGAAATAAATGATTTAGAGCCTCTGCAGAAGCACAGGCACTTGGCTTACAATATCAGGGACTGAAGCCATATTCACTCCCAAAATCACCTCTGCAGGACACCCTGCAGAGCACTGCCGCCTTCACTTCACTCTACCTCCCACAACTCCTCCTCCCTTTGGACAACTCCATGTCACCAGGTAGACCTGGCACCCAGCCAGAGACCACACGATGGGCGCCCAACAGGACAGCGATGCCCCGGGAAGGGGCCTGGGCCCGGTCCTGCTGAGCGCGGCAGCCGGCCGAGAGGGCCACAGCTCCTCACTCCCGCAGGGCAGGCGGCCGCAGAGGTCCCGGCCCCTCCTTGGCACTGCTGCGACCATCCGGGCAGCGCAGGCGGGACACCAGTGAGGGAAGGTTCTTATCTAAAAGAGGGTCCAAGGGGTTTGCAACCTCACTAGGAAAAAAATGCATACATGCAGACATCTTGCGCAAGCCCAGACCAAAACACCGCGCAGGGCCCATTACAGGCTTCACGGCGTGTGGAAGCTCCCTTCCTCCTGCTGGTGACCAGCACGCTCACTGCCGCATGGCACAAACCAGTAGGCCATTTTGGGCAAAGTTAAAACCCAGCACAAGTAATGAGCAGAACTGATTCAGCAGCCTCTATTAGTTCTGGAAGACAGGCCACCACCACCAGCAGCATTTCTGATATAACTGGGGAGAGAACGGAAACGTCTTTCTGGAAAACAAGGAGTCAGTGAAAACTGGTGTCTCATGGGGCTGCTAAAAAAAAGTGGACATTTATGCGTGCAGATTGCTGAATAAGACGAGCTATGGCAAAGAGCCATCTAGACAGGCTCAGATGACGTTAATGGGCTATGGCCAGGGAAAAGAGGCATAAACGGAAAGCAGCAGAACTCAGACTTTCTGTGCACAAGAGAAATTTGACAGATGCAGAGACTGCTCACACTGTACATGGGAAGAAACCTTTAAGAGGTCTCCTAGACTGGGAAGCGGATCATAGGAAGTCAAGTCTGTGTGGCTGGCAATGTTTATTCTCAGGGCTCCTAATCCCTTTGCCCAACAGCATTTCCAGACTCACACTAAAGACCTAGAATGACGGGTACAAGCTTGGCAACCGTTCTCAGGGCATGCAAAAAGACTTGGCTTACACATCTGAGTGCCCAGGGCCAGACCGTCCAAACCAGGATGTGGGAGGAGGACAAGAGAAGCAGAAAAGAAAAATAAGCAGGAGACGAAATGAGAAATGGAAAGTGAAGGGTAAAGAGCTGACAAGAAATAGTCCAAGTGGATTAGAAAGACAGAGGCTCGGTTGTGGCTCCCGCAGACGGCGAGACAGAGGCAGGAAGGCCACCTCTACCCGCTGACATGGCCTTCACACCAACGCTCCCCACGTGTTTTATTCTGCAGCAGCTTCCACTGTTAACTAATC